AAAATGGGTCTGTTCACAGTTAAGATACTATTAAGAAATTAACATTTGCAGAAGGGAAAAGGAAAAGGTCAACCTATGAAGACACTTTTAAGACCCGTATATAAACGATTGAACGATCATGGCCCAAGTCAAATACTGAAAGCTTGTTTCAGGCGTATTGAAAACAGTCCTTTTTTAACTAGCAATGGTTGAACGTCATTCTAGTAGATTGACAGCCAAATATCTCTCAAGGAGAGATGGCCGAACAGTTGATTCATTGATTATGAATATCTAGCGTGTCGAAGCCATGTATGTTACACCAAAACCCTGCATTACGTCTAACCGCTTAATACTACAACTTCATTATAACGACCAGAATTTTATGTTCCCGCGATTGAAACCCTCATATTTTCTTCCTGATGAAAAATGCCACCTCGGTAGTACGCCCACATTTCGATGCCATGACCGGTATAACAAGGTTGTACTTAATACTGTATATATTTAAATGTGGCTCAAACGGTCGTTCGACTTGATGAAGATCGATAAATTCGCTCGAAACGTCGTATTCTCATTTCAATACTTTTCGATATTTGAGTGATCACATTTACTGAGCACTGTATACTTTTTAGAAAAGATATAATTGGAGATACATACGTTTTTTCTTATCGACGGGCGGTGGTATTTCATCCCATCGTTTCTGTACCATGGCAACCACTCGTGGGTCAGAGTAGGCCTTAGCAACATCAAGAGCTGTATGTCCTTTCTTGTTGGGCAACTGAATTTTGGCCCTAAAAATATGAAATGATTACAATAACCTGATTTTATAGGTCCAAATTTCGAGTCTTTCTATGTATCTATCTACAATGCAAACATACTGTGACGTCATTATGCCATAGAGCAATAGAGTACTCAAGTGATGACGTCACAAAACGAAAATGTTTGAGTTTTGAAATTCTGAAAGTGCATAATTTTTAATGAATCCTAGCTAAATAAGTGTCTTAGCGCCATTTATAGCGGAGATACAAGCGATTTTATAGTCGGATGACCACATACAAACGCTTGCAAAGTTGGTCTTGTTCATAACGAAAGGAACAAGACCAAATTTACAAGCGTTTGTGATATGTGGTCATCCGACCATAAAATCGCTTGTATCTTCGCTATAAATGGCACTAGGACAATGAAATTTGGTAGATAGCTCCTTTTTTCCATGCGCTTTAAGGATATGTCAGTGAATCCGAATAAAAGTATTTTTGTGACGTCACACTTTAGTACTCTATTAGGGCAATTTTCTGCCCTTTTAAAACGATAATCTAGTACAAAAAAAAACACAGGTCTTCATGGCTCACCCTTTAGCTATCAAAAACTCAACCACGTCTTCCCTGGAGCTCTCTATAGCTCTCATAATAGGTGTGCCGCCATTGATAGTTTGTGCATCGAGTTCTGCACCTCTTTCAAGTAATAACTTCACTAACTCTAGTTGACCTGAGTGACAAGCGTGGTGCAACGGCGTCCATTTAAAGTTATCTTTTCCATTTACTTCAGCCCTGCGGGAATCATTCATTCAAGATGAAAAATAGATAAATAGAGGATATTACATGGGTGCGCGCAGATACGGATTTTATCTTCGAGTGTTGAAGAGATCTCTCACAAGTGAGAAATGTTCAAAACGAGATAAAATTCATATCTCCAAGCGACCATCTAATATTGATCGTTTTAAACCATTCCCATGAGATTTCAAAAGATAAAATACCGGCGGCCGAGGAATGAATAGATCTAATGAAAAATCCTCTGTTGAAGTTATCCCAAGATGGCCGCTGTGACGTATAGTGAAAACGAAGAATTCATATCATATATGAAAGCATATTTTGTCGTGTAGTGAAAACAACAACTTCTCGAAAGGGAGAAATATAGTAACTTCTAGATAATTATGTGATAAAATGTAACGTTTAGGAATAAGAAAACAAAATTCACAAAAGAGGGAAAGTGAATAATAAGAAAAAAAGACAGGGCAAATTAAAAGAAGATCAAAGCGCCACTGAAAATCTTACCCTAAGTCCAGTAGGAACTGAGCCATATCTAGGTTGCCATGAGCACAAGCAGCCATCAGGGGGGTCTTRTARTATTTATCTCTCTGATCAACAGGGGTACCCTTGATGAAAGCTGCTTTTAGCGACTCCAGGTCACCAAGCTTGGCCGCATCATTGATATTTAAATAGGACGTTTCTGTGGTAACAAGGGAGTCATCAAAAAAATGTGAATAGAAATAGAATAACATGTAAGAGGGAAAGGAATCTACACACTTGAACCCCTGCATTACGACCATCTGCTTAATGCGGGCATTCCGTTATAACGACCGGATTTTTATGTCCCAATGAATCAAACCCTCATTCTTTTCTTCTTTTAAAACGCCCTCCCCGTTAATACGACCGCTTCCCGATGCCCCTTCGGTGGCCGGATTGAAGAGGGTTTTTTTTCGTTCATAACCATACCTGGAAAGCTAAGGTACCAAGCTGAATCATCTTGAATTGGATGAGCTGGTGGGTTGTCCCTATCAAACCTTGAATTATCTGTGAAATGCTATACAAGATACCCAAAGAATGTCAGATGTTTTACAGGTGTAAAAGAAAGTCTTAATAAAGCAATAAAAATGCAGGATTAACATTTTAAGAAATATCTACCAATTAAATATTATATACATTGTCTCGGTACTAACTAAAAACTACTAAATAAAACAAATTCTCATACCACATATCGTTCTAAAAGCTCAAGGGGTGGACCACCATTCCTGGACCTTGGACCATCTGGTGCTGTACAAATTGGAAGGGGAATCTTTGTCTTTCCCTGAGTTGATTCAAGATAAAAATAAACTTTGAATTAGGTATGAAATTATAACACTCAGACTAATTTATCTTTGAGACCATGCGAATAAAACAACAAACAAACAACAACAACAACAACAAAACAGCATGGTATCCATGGAAACATTTACAATTAGAATTCTTAATCATATGAGGAAGTGGCTGATCCCATTAAAGAGTGCTGAATACACATAAAGTGTAGAGCTAGCTATATTATATATAAAATATGATATCAAAGAGGCAAGATTTTGCTGTAACTCCGAGTTTGGTGCTACGCACTCATCAGACAGTATTTAATTAGAATTCTTAAAATGAATCAACAATACATACCTTCTTTTTTCTTCCCTTTTTCCCTCCTTTCTTTTTCTTTTTCTAAAATGACATAAATTAATGAGTATAAGCAAGTAAAATCTGTAGGCATTCTTTAATAGTATGCCATCCTTATCTGTCAGTTTAATTCAAAAATCAAAAATATTGATTACCTTTCCCAGGGTCACCATGAAATTCTAAGAAAAAAAAACACCCCAATTTAGTCATTATAATTCATTGAACATTTTTCTTTGGGTGCAATTTTGATACAATTGATTTTCAAATCAAGATAGAAAACAGGTCTGGATAACAACATTTGCAGAATATACATGTAGAATAATATAATATTACAGTAGCTAGTCCAGACATATGTGGCTTAATTTATATATACAGAATTGTACAAGTTCGCTAATTTGTTTAGGGCAGGAGAAGGAAAATGATGATATTGTCAATTAGGACAGGGCTGGTGTTCAATGTTTAGCAGAGTTCGGGGAAGCAAGAGAGATGGTGTAGTTTCGAGATGGAAGATGAAGGTGTGGTAAATGTACTTTTATTAATTGACATTGAGAGATTGACATTGAGAGACATTGAGAGATTGAGGGATGCAACCAGAAAAGGGAATGGCGTCTGATTGGTGAGGGAGTGGATGCAAGAAGTGCATTAGTGGATTTCGTATAAGTGGGACACCATTACCGCACAGTTACAGCACTACCGGGCCTGGCCTGCACAATTTTGGTGAACCAATGGGGCACTAAAATTTGGTTACAGTACGATTACGGTCACAGTACAGTACCGTCCGTTTCCTACTCATACGAAATCCGCTCTATGGATGGTAATGTTACAATATAAGTGGTTTTCCAAGCATTACAAATGGTAAATTTTATGAGGTCAGGAGGGAGCCATATATGGCATAGTTATGCTTTGTTAACTTACCTTTCCTACAACTTTTTTACAGGTCAGAAATAATGAATAATCTACTTTGTCTTCTTTACTAGGGTCATGGGTTACTGCAATTTTCTCTAAATCATTAGATTCAACAGGGCAATCTAAAAAAAATCAGACATTCAAC